TAAAAAATTATCCTTATCATTGTCAAGATTTTGAGTGATAAAACTAATTAAAAATCGCCCCTAAAAACTTTTTGAGCAACAAATAGTCATCTTTCCAAGTATGGGCGTTTTAAATAAGGTATTTTATTTTCATGATTAATCTAAGTTGTAGTCAAGTGGCTTTAAATTCAAATCTTAAAAATAGAAAATTAATGTGTTAAAAATTTGTATTATATTATAATTGATAAAAAAAAATTTTCCCTCATTTATTTTTAGTGATAAAATTGTGTTCACCATGATAACGGGTAGGAAATCCTCGTGTGACTGTCTAAACAAGTTATGGTGTATATGGATATATCCTCGATAAAAAATTATCTCGTCAAGCTTAAAAATAAAAAAATAAATTAAAATATAGGTTTTCTTTTTTAACACAAATTTAAAACCAAGCTACATGTTCTGTTCTCTAATTCTTGCTTGCTGCTGCTGCTGGAAGGTGCTAATATTTTTTTTTTTTAAAAACAAAAGTCCAGATTTTTTTTTAATATTTACATTTAGGATTCATCTTCCTTTGAGTTTCAACTTTGAATTGGCCCATCCACATGTGGCCCATCTTTGCGCATGACCCCTATATAAGGATGACGACTACAAAAAGAGTGAAATATTTTCTTAAATTAATAAAATACAAAACCCTGGAATCACAAAATGTTTGAATAGATTGTCACACTTATTCAAGTTTAGTATGTGATGGCTTAGTTTGATTTTTAAATTTATTATTTTCTTTGCCGACTTGATTACGACAACTTATTTTCCAACATTTTCAAGTGACTAAGGCAGAATTATAATTTGTATTCCTTATTTTTTTCGGTATTTTCTGGGATAACGGTTCACAGAGGGAGCCAGGGTTTAAAATTTAAATTATATTTTTAATCTATGTTTCATGCATACATGTCCTGTATCTTGTTAGCCATATTGGTACTGGTTCGTGAAGCAGGAGCTTGGTAGACACATTGTTAGGATATTCAAATGTAAATATATTTGACTGGATAAAGTAAGTTTCAACGGATTCAATTAAATTTTATAAAAAATATATAATAAAGGAAAAGGATGATTAATAAAAATAAGTTTAATCCATTATTTATAAAGCATCATATTTTACCAATAAATATGGGTTTTAATAGAAGGAGTTATAGCCGTTTAAAGGCATGATTTCAAACTTGAGTCTTTGTGAATGCAGAAACACATATTTAAAAGTACTACCCCAATTATCATGATTTGTCAGTAAAATTTTTAAATAGATAATTTATTAAGTTCAAGCTTTTGTTTTAATTTATTGCTAACTCGTTTCTAATTTTATGATTTAATGTATAGAACTTTTTTATGTTTAGATTACTTATGTGAGACTTGGAAGTAATTTTTCCTAAATGAAACTCGTAAAATGATCCAAACGATATCTCATTTGAACGTTGAGTTACAAGCACCTCATCTTAAAATTCATATATTCCTTATCACTGAACTTGAACTATGGAGGCCTAAATCTAGATGACCTAGACACCATGATGACTCCATGGAATCAATTTCTTTACTGTAAGCATAAGTTCAAGCGACTATCCACAAAAAGAAATTACGCTACTTCCATTTACATTCCAATGGTGCGTCCATGTATATATAAATAATATAATGGAGAATCTTGGTGCAGGTGACTTTCTTGGAATTTAAATCTAGTGCGTGTTTAGCTTGGTGTTAAATAGGAAAGATATTCACGCGTGTTTTGATAACAGTTCTCATGCTTTTTTTTTTTTTGTTATTCCAAATCTCTTAAATTTTATCTGTCTGTAGTATTTGTTCTTCTTTTTTTCTTTGTTTTTTTTTCTTTTGCAAATGTGATTATTAGAATTTAATATTGTTTAACATGCATATAACTATATTATTTTTTCTGTCGATTTGTTAAAATTATGATGAGTTGTATAAAAATAAGTAATAGGCTAAAAAAAAAATACAATAAGTAGAACATTAAACCATAATCATTAAACGTGCAATGAAGCTCTGAAAAAAAGAAGACACAGAAAATAAGAGCAGGCAAACAAAAATGTTAGTGGCCGTTACTTATATAATATCCAACTTATCATAATTTTACTTATATTAGATTTAAAAGATTTATATACTCATCAGCAGATTTAACTTCATTAATGGTAATAAAAACAACAACAACAAAAAGTATAAGAACCAATACCAAAACATCTCTAAAAAGCAAAGGAACCAAACTGTTTGTGTTAAAAATAAATAAAATGAATTGATTTCTTCAATATGTTGTTTTGACTACTCTGCCAAAAAAAAGTCAAATATAAGTATGCAGAAAGTCGTCCAAATTCTCAGTTTTTGCTTCAAATCTTCCAATTATCCTACTTGCGTGCTTCCATTCTTCAATTTTCTTGTGTTTCAACCTTTTTCCAAGACTAACAATTATCAGAGGCAGTCCCTTGCATTTTCCAACAATGTCCTCTGCAACAGCCTTGAGAGCAGGATCATTATCAACAATCTCACCTGTCACATTTCCAAATAGCTTCCATGATTCTTCTTCTGATAGAGCTTTAATCTCTACCTTCTTCACCCCTTCATCTTCCATAGCTCTCCACATGTTTTCATCCTCTGTGGCTATCATCATCTTGCTTCCTTTGTTCTCAGCGGGGATACCAATTGCTTCCAAATCAAGCCTTTGCTTCACACCATCAAAGATTATCAGTGTCTTCTTCTCATTCTTCAGTCTCAAGTAGAGACGGCGAGCTCTTCCAACATCACTCTCTTCTTGAATTCTCAGACCCAACATGTCTGCTATCTGGTTTTGAATGTCCCTAGTGTCAGGGGTGCTGGACTTAGGATCAACACCAACTATGACAACCTGATCAAACAAATTCTTCTCCTTGACTCTTCTTCCCACTTCTTTCACCAATTCTGTCTTCCCAATCCCTCTGGATCCGTGAAGAACAACCGCATTACACTCATCTTCCTCCAGTGCTTTCAGAATCTGATCCGTAGCTTCGATTCTTGAGTCGAAGGCAATGAAATTTCTGGAGGATGAGTATTCTATGCCAGGAAGAGGAGCTGTGCGAGAGATCCGATCGAAATTCTTAGCTTGTTCTTGAAGCTCAGCGACAGATTTCACCTTCTTCGTCGATTTTCTACTGAGACGGTAGCGATTGACGCAATTAGGGCAGACTCCACCGAAGCAACTCTTGCTAGTCTTGCTCTGTTCTTCGATCTTCACAACTTGTTCGATGATCCGATCCACATTCACGAGCCATCGATTCACTTGGGGTTCGATGAGATCTCCTTTCATTGTGGCTCGTTGAACCTCTTGATTCACCTGAAGCCGCAGATTTTTTAGCCTCTCTGCTTGTTCACTGAGATTGTTGACATTTCTGGTGAAGTCGAAGAGGTAATCGAACTGACGAAGGATTGGATGGACCGGGTATTCGGCGATCTTCGCTGCGATAGAGATCAGAATGCTCGTCATTGTGGGTGGAATTGAACTTGGATGATTGATTGTTTGATACAGAGAAGAAGAGAAGGAATGTGGGGCAATTTATAACAGAATCGAACATGGAGATTGTGACTGGCATCTTCAAGTTTCGTGGAAAGAGAATTGAAAATGCGAAGAAAGAAGACGTATCGTGTCTTCAGGAAAATTCCGTTTCTTTTCTGAAGAGGTTTCTTTGGCTTTAGTTTGAATATATATATATATATATATATATATGGAGTTGTCAATTAGGGCCCAATCCATCGAACCAATTTTTTAAGCTCAAAAATAACTAGAATCGAATCACTGTTTTAAAAGAAAGAATGGCAATTCGGCTTAAAAGGGCCCTTTGGCTCTTTTAAACCAAAAAAATAAAAGGGCCAACCCTTTTAAGGCCTTTTATTATTTTTTAAAAAAATTATAATAAAAAATAAAAATTAAATATATAATTTAAATAAATGAATATATTAAATGCATTCATCCATTCCTCATTTATTTATTAAGATTTAGCTGATAATATTAGCTAAATTTAATTTTTATTGGTATTCATTTTGATGTTATTATTTGACATTAGAACTAAATGTTTTAATTTGATGTTGTTATTTGATATTAGAACTAAATGTTTTAATTTTTTTTATTGTTGTGGTGTAAATTGATTTAAATTTATTTTCTTAAACTTAATTTTATGTATAATAACTTTTTTATAATTTTAAATTAAAAAATAATTTTAAAAAAATAGGGCTGGCCCTCATTAACCTTGAGGGCTAGGGCCGGGTATTATAAAATAAAACTCTGACATACAATTGAGCTTATTAAAATCAACCCGTTTAGGCCTGGCCCTTCAAGAGCAAGCCCTTTAAGGTCGGATTGGTCCTAGTTGATAGCTCTGTTTGTATTCGTATTTGTTTTTCTAATGCTACTTTTATAATATAATATTTAAAATGATTGTTCAAAACAAAAACCATTACTATGAATATGTTAATTTAAAAGTAGAGTTAAAATTAAAATATCAGTAGATATTAGTTGATAATTATGGCTTATAATAAATATTTATCATAAATAACAATAAATTTTAATAATTAAATATGGTATGTTTTGAAAAAAACATATAAAAGTTTTCAGGTTTTATTTATTTATTTTTTTAAAAAAATTAAAATAATTTTAAAAACATTTAAATCTAAAATATTAACCTAAATAAATTTTTATTTTAAAAATAAAAAAATTCTTGAAAATAAAAGCAAACTTCAATTGAAATTAGTAGTTTTTTAATGATAATATAATTTTTAATTCTTAATTTTTTTTAAATTATTAATTTAATTTTTGAATTATAATTCAGCACAACTTAACTTTTATAATTTATTGAATTAAAAAATTATAAAAATTAAGTTGTGCTTGACTAATAAAAAAAATATAAAAATATGAGGATTGAGTTGTTTGGTGTGCCATCTCCCATAAAAGTTAAAACCACTGCCATCTATCGACAGCACCCATAAACTCTCGTGATTAGTCTCGCTCCAAGAAGTCCATCGGCTAACTTTCCACAATGGCAATGCTTCCTTGGTCCTTCATAGCTTAGCTTAGCACCCAGCCATAGCATGTTCGCCCTCCTTGTAATGGTTAAAGTCCTTCGGCTGCTTGCTACTGCACTCGACGAAGACGGCTTCACAATTAACAGCCTCTTCAAGCTTTTCTGTTCCTCACTCACAAGTTGTCCTTTTGCGTTTGACTATCTTAGCTCAGGAAGCATTAAAGTTCTTTTATAAAAGAAGAGTAAGGTAGAATTGGGCAGACTAAAATAACGACAATATGAACGTGCCAACAACCCACAGTAACAGAGCCTCACTGGACTCACATTGTCGTATTCAACCTCTCTCGACCGCTGCTGCTAAGGCGAAAGTTAAAAGATACTGAAATTGAATAAACTAAAAGTTGATGAAGGAAGGAAAGAATGTGGTTGAGGGAAGTAAAGAAGCTGGGAATACTGAGGAAACCAAAATAATTTTGAGAGACTGAAGAAGAATAGGATCTGTCCATTCCAAGTAAAGTATTCATTGTTTCATCAGTATTACAAAACCCTAGCTAGCTATCAATCGTATAACTTCATCGATCTGTTTCCATTATTGCTTTCATTTCTTCATCTGCAACCTCAAGTCAGGAGTTTGCATCTCAACTAGAGACACTATAAGGTGTGAACCTCGATCCATCTCTTTTCGTAAGCAAAAATTCTTTCTAATTGTGAAAATCTATCAACATTTTTGTTGTTTTGAATCTGGTTACTTCTTGACACATTACTACAGTAAGTGGTTTCAGAAGTGCACGCATGGAATCGTTTCTAATAGAAACGTTTTCTTAGGTTAAAAGTAAGTGGTCCCATAAGCTTATTTTGTAATAATGCCATCTCCTTTAACCAAAAAATAAGAATTGGATTATAACATTCATGGTCCTTAAATGAGATCAACGTCGCTTTTGTATTCTCCTTTTAATTTCCTTCCCCCTTCTTTAGTATTTTTTATTAACGATCCACCCTCTGAAATACTTTACTAGAGTTAATAACTTTCATTTAATAAAGTTATACTATACCACACAGTGTTATTGAGCTTCATCTGTGACTTGATAATTGAAACAGATCAGTTACTGTTGCTGGCATTTCTGGTTCTGCAATCTCAAGAATCTGTAACTGAAGAGCGACACAGTGAGGTATGAAACTCTCTATTCATAAACGTTAAACCTTTCGTTTACAGTCCCTGAGAAAATATCTCTAGCTTTTTCTAACCTTTCTTTGTTTAACATTTTGCCATCTGCATTTCTTGAATTTTATATTCTTTTGATCTTTCTTTATCCTAAAACTAAGTTCATGCTAGTCTCTCTCTCTCTCTCTCTCACGCACACACGCACACACACACAAAACACATTCCTTACTTGTGTTTGTGTCTTGTTTGCCTTATAATCCTATGTATGTAGATATTCCCTAATATCCGTGTGTTAATTGTGAAGTTTACATGAATGCAAATGATTTTTCTAGAAAGATATATGCATGTTTAAATGTGAAACAATTAAATGGCGTATGATGAATTTCCCCCTGGATATCATTTATCTTCTCTTTCATGATTTTTAATTATAAACTAATAACACCTAGTGGGGGTCAAATTTGCATGTCCAACTAAATCTGCTGGGGACTAGAGAGAGAATCTGCAAGCTCAAGAACCACTGAGCTGGGATCAAATAGTGTTAGGTTTGATTTAATATTTTTTTATGCCAAAATTGTAACTTGCACATCATTTTTTTTTAATTCTTTTTAATTGTTTCTCATCAATTTGCCAACATATTAAATTCATCATATGTGACTTGATAATTGATTCCAGATCTATTTCTGTTGGTGATATTATATTATTCTGGATTTGCAACGTAAAGATTCAGACAGTTTAAGGTATGCATTTCAATCTCTCTTCTTAAACACACTCAACATTGTTTCTTTTCTCTATGCCTCACTGAGAAAACCTCTCAATCTTTTTGTTATAATTAATGTTGTTATGATTCCTTGGCTGCTATATATATACTTTCCTTCAATGAAGTTTTATGAGAAAATGAGTTTTTTGTGTTTTGTTTTTCTGGTGCAAAGAAATTGTTTTTTTTTTTTTTGGTCTAAGTGATTTTTATTCACGACATGAACAGCTCAACAGTTTGACAAACAGAACAGATAAGGGAAAACAGTGAACTACAAACACAGCTAGCTAAAAAGAAACAAAAAAAAAAAAAAAATGCACCAGAGCCAGAGCTTTCTTCTAAGTCAGATTCCCAAATCTGAAAGGAACTTGATCTAGGATAGAAGCCAGTTGGGATGGGGACCTATTAGCCCAATTCAAAGAGCACATCCCTTTCACCATAGCACAGATGGGGTAACCCAATTTTTGCTGCTAATTCTTGGGATCTCCTGAAAGCAACATTGGCTTAGTGAGAAACGAAGATTCATAATATTATCCTCAATCATTGAGTGATCCCATTCCGGGCAAGTGGAAGAGTTGTTGACAGCCTCAAGTAGTGGGAGACAATCTGACAAAACAAAAACTCTTGAAAAACCATTATCATAGCACCATTTAAGAGCAGTAAACATTGCAAAAGCTTCACAAGATTTAGCTGCTTCTACTTCAGATGCTATATAGATGCAGCTACCCTCTTTATTCCACACAACGAGCCTATACCCCCTTTTCAGCATTAATATCGTAGGCTCCATCCACACAAACCAGCTCATCAAAATCCAGAAAAGACCGAGCATTAGATGCATCCATACTTTGATTATCATGAATGCAATTAATGCTTCTAGGAGCATTCAGATTATTTGCCTCCCATAAACTATCTTGGTAAGCTCTTGTCAATTGAATAATACCCTTAAGTTCAATGGTTTTTTTTTTTTTTCCTCGAAAAGAAATACACATCTAGCTTTCCATAATTTCCATAAAGTAAACCCAATCAATGCCTCGTGTATATCCTCATCAACATCATTTCTAAGCCAGCTAAGTAACCATGCATCAAGACGAGTAATTTCACTGTCAACCAGTTTAGCACGCAAACATAGCAACAGAAGATGTTCTAGAGTCTCAGCTTTATCACAACAGAAAAGACAAATAGGAGTATATGCACACCTTCACTTCCATAAGCTTCACTTCCATGAGCTTTCTTGAGTTGGAAGAGCTCCTTCTGATGCTTTCTGTAAGAAGAACCTGATCTTGGCAGGGACTTTAAGCTTCCAAATTAGTCTCCAAAGCCCATTGTCAACCATGCAAGAAGTGCTTGGGCCTTTCCTCAGCACTTGATTACTCTTTTTGGCCCATTGATATCCTTTCTTGACGGTATTTTTACATGCAGACCATACCGGTCTGTCCGGCCTATCAAAATGTGGAAGTAATATCTTGACTATGGCATCGCATTTGTCACTAGAAATAAACTCTTCAATGCAACTCAAGTTCCAGTTTCTTTTGACAATCAAATCTGAGACCAGCCACTTCTTCGCTTCCTCAGTAGGAGCTACATATTGTAACTTAAATTGAGGTAATGACGAAATCCATGGGTCACCCCAAATTTTAACCGAATTACCATCTCTTATGTTAAAACAGACCAATTTATCAAGACGTATTCTTTCTCCAAGCAAGCTAGTCCAAACCCAAGAGGCTTTGGCAACTTTTTTTGCTGCTAAAAAATTTTCATGAGGGAAGTAGATGCCTTTAATCATTTGCACCCATAACTCCTCAGGTTCATTTAGCATCTGCTAGCCCTGTTTAGCCAGCAATGCCACATTAAACTAGTAGAAATCTTGAAATCGAAGTCCCCCTCCTTCTTAGAAGATGTAAGATCATCCCAACGCACCTTGTGAATCCTACCTTCCTTCCCATGCGGCCCCCACCAAAAAGAAGATAAAATACTATCCAGCTCATTGCAAACTTGCTTGCGCAAAAGAAAGCAACATATTGGGAAAACTGGAATTGTACTAACCATAAAACTCAAGGCTTGCACTTTAAATCTGCCCCATAAAATTGGCAAACCAAGATATTTCCTCAGATATTCAACCTCTTCCACATGAAAAATATTTTTTAAAACCTCTCTAACTGGGTCAGGAGTATCTCTAGAAGAGAAAAAACAGGATTTCTAAAAGTTTATCAACTGAAAGACACATCACAATATTTATCCAAAATGCTGCTAATCATAACTAAATTTCTCTCCGTGGCTTGCAATTAGAGAACCGAGTCATTGACAACGAAACAATGTGCAATAGGTGGTTCCCCTCGCCAATTTAATTTCCTAAATAGCACCCACTGCTAGAAAGTAATTAATCATCCTAGATAACACATCGACAACAATAATAAAGAGATACGGTGACAACAGATCACCTGGCCTTTGCCCCCTTCCCTGGGTAATTTGTGGAGCAACTCTACCAGACAACAATAGAGCCAACTTAAAAAGAGCATATGCATTGACAAATCTTTTCCACCCAATCATTGGAAAACCCCAGACAGCAAAGCACCTCTTAGAAAATCCCACTCAACATGGTCATTATAAGCTTTATTCATATATAATGTTAAGGCAAGTTCAGATCTGCTTCCTCTGTTTATAGTAAGGTCGTGAAAGCCTCATGTGTTATGAGAATATTGTCAAATATAGTCTCCTAGGAACAAACGCCCTCTAATTTACAGAAATGAAGTTGATCATTCATCATATGTTTCATCTAAAATTGCTTTAGTGACCTTCCTAACCCTCTCAATCTCTCATCCCACATGATGCTTAGCACTTTCTTGTAACTCCTAATCTCCTTCAATAGATTTGTGTCAAAAGTTGGCTGTTTCTCACCCTTTAACTGCCATCATTTGATCCTAGGGTTTATAACTCGTCATTTTTGCTTTTGACTCTCAACAAGCAAATTAAGGACCAAGATATGGTGTCAAGTCAAGCTTTCCCTAGGAGTTTTGCAATCTTTACAAAGTCTTTTATCTGTATTCCTTATAAAAAAAAAATAAAATTGTGAATTGAAGCCCTACTCTTGCATGTGATTGAATTCTTCTCCCACTTATTAGAGTAAGTACTGACAATCTTAAATTATATGCCACTGAAAAATCAAGGACAGATTTGCCCTTCTCATTAAGTTCCCTAAAACTGAAACTACCATGAGCTCCCTCATATTCTCTTGCCTCCTTGTTGACATGTCCATGGAGGTCCCCATCATTGGAAATATTTTCTGCTTATGATGTGTTTCTTCCCTTAAGATGCACATGTATAGGAACTTATGATGTTGATAGTATCACATAGAATAATCATCCCTAAGGATAATATCTTATCCACAATCCTTCTTATTTCCATCACATTCTCTCCAATTCTTGTCAACAATACCAATTCTATTCTTTTTTTTTTTTTTCGGTACTTTCCTTGTGTATCAAAGTTTAAATCATGTAGAGGCAAGCTCCTTAGCCTTTACTCCAACCCATTTAATTTGTTGAAGGCACACGGTGTTAACTCTTGTTTGAATCATGATGTCCAATACCTCTAAAGATTTACTTGTCAAAGTCCCAACATTCAAAGTATTGAACTTGATATTGCTCCCTTAGACTAACTTCTTTATCCATATCTGTTTAACACTACACCTGATTGCGAATGTAGGGGCTTTAACTCATTTGACACTCTACTCAATCCATATTGTAGGTAATGACTTGTCAGTAATACCATCATGTTTTTGACTCATGTCATAGGAGATTTAACAAAGTTTTACACTAGTTATCAAGAGTTTAACACAACTTTCCACCTTTATCCAGACTTAAAATCGATTTGGAAACATATATAAAAGGATGAAACATAATTCTATAATAAAGTTTCTACCCACTTATGTTCAATTAACCCACAAGAAAATACGAGTAAGTCAATACAACCATTGAACAAGAACAGGGGAAAGGAAAATTGAGAGGACGAATGAAGAAATGAAGACTAAAAATAGAAACATTAACTCAATCTCCACAAAAAACAAAGCCTATTACACTAAGAAGCTCCAAAACTCTCCAAAGTAGTCCCATAATGACGACTAAAAATGGAAACGGTCAATGAGTGAAGCCCTCAAGTTTTGCTGCTATTAAAGCGGTGTTTTGCTGTCATCAATCTTTTGCCTTGACCACAAGAAGAATTGTAATAACTTTTTAATAATTACATTAATGGATATAGCTTTTTTGACATAAAAGTACACATGTATGCTGATAGATGAAACAATAAACTAAAAGTTTTGAAAATTTTCCTTTGATCCCATTTCTATTCTCCTTTTTCTTTATAAACTAATAAGATCTAATCATTTGCAGGTGTAAGTGAATCTTGAGACAGAAATATCATCTGCAATCTCAACAACCATTGAAATACTGTCAGGTTTGTTTGAACATTTTTAATTTCTTTTCTTTAATCAAATGGTGTTTTTCCATTTAATACTTATCGGAAAAAAAAAGACCAATATTACTAGAGTAAATGAAAAAACTTGGGTACTTTTTTCTTATTAGGTACCTAAGTTTATTTGCTTAAAGCATTTTTTTTCCCCAATCAAATAAGGGTGTGCGCATTTTTTATCCCTAACTTACCTTGTAACTCACTGGAATTTTTTGCTTGATTTATGAAATTTATTATTTTCTTTGCTGACTTGATTATCAAACTTAACACCTTTGATTTGTCTACTTTATCAAAATTCATTTTTCTGATATTGGCTGTTAAGTCATTTTGCGATGATTCTCCACCATACTACAATACTCATCTCATATATATACTCGTACATATATTTAATTATTTTAATGGATTCTTGGTTGCTAAATTAATACAATTGATTTTGTTGTATAGGTCCTACAAGTTGCTGAGATGACAGAGGTGGTTTTTGCTATTGTATCAAAAGTCTCGGAATTTTTGGTGGACCCAGCAATACATCAAGGATATTACTTGTTTTGTGTCGGCAAACTCACCAAAAAGCTTGACGAAGAAAAGGAAAACCTGACATCAACAATAGATGGGATTTCTCAACGTGCAGGAGAAGCAAAGAAGAAAACTGAGAAGATTGAAAATGCTGTGAAGAAATGGTTGCAAGAAGCACAAAGTCTTCTGCAAGATGCGGAGAATTTGGAAAAAGAAGTGAGAGCCAGCGGTTGCTTCTGGAATTTGTGCCCCACTTGGCGAAGATATTGTTTATGCAAGCAGTTGGCAAGGAAGATAGAAAGAATGATGGAGCTCAAGAACAACAGCAAGTTTGAGAGATTTTCTAGTCCCATTTCACTCCCAACCAATGTTGAATACTTCTCCTCAGGAAACTTTATGATATTTAAATCCACAAAGTTGGCTTATGATCAACTTTTGGAGGCGATGAAAGATGATGATTGCTTTATGGTATGCTTGCATGGGATGGGAGGGTGTGGCAAAACAACCCTTGCAATAGAAGTGAGCAAAAGGGCTAAAGAACTGAATCTCTTTGATAAAGTTGTTTTTACTACTGTGTCCAAATCTCCTAATGTTAGAAAGATTCAAGGTGAAATTGCTGACGAATTGGGTTTGAGTCCACTAAAGGAAGAAAGCGAGGCTGGGAGGGCAAGACGATTATCATTGGGAATGCGAAAGGGGAGGATTCTTATTGTATTGGATGATGTCTGGGGAATTTTGAATCTTGAAGACTTTGGGATCCCGTTAAATTGCAACCTTGAAGGCTGCAAGGTTTTATTAACTACACGTCTCCAACAACTTTGTTCATTGATGAATGGTCAAAGGAATGTTCCATTGCATCTCTTATCAGAAGAGGAAGCTTGGACTTTTTTTCAAAACAAAGCATGCATAGTTGATGACTCTTCTTTGTTAAATACTGTGGCACGAGAGGTTGCAGCAGAATGCAAAGGATTGCCCATTGCAATTCAAGCTGTGGGAACAGCTTTGAAAGGAAAGCCTCTTGATAATTGGAAGGATGCGTTATATAAACTAAGGCATTCGAAACCTATTGGAGTGCCCCAAGGTGTGAAAGATGCCTTTACTTGTCTTCAATATAGCTATGATGCCTTGACAAGCAATGAGGCAAAGGGTCTTTTCTTGACATGTAGTATTTTTCAAGAGGATCGTGTGATCAAAAGAGAAGACTTGTTTAGATATGGAGTAGGGTTAGGTTTATTTGGGGAAGCTAGTACATTTGATGATTTAAGGAGCAGAGTGAATGCAGCTTTAACTGACCTCCTTGATTATTCTTTGATAATGCATTCTGAGACAGGACAAAACTGCTTCAAAATTCATGATGTTGTTCATGATTTTGCTTTGTGGGTAGCATCCACAATCAACCGTCCTGTCATAGTTGACCATGCAAAGGGGCTGAGTTCGTTGGCTTTGGAAGGAAACATAAAAAATTGTTTTGCTATATCTACATGGTCCAATAAAGACGAAGATCCATTTCCTCAACAATTATATGTTCAAAAGCTAGAGATGCTATTACTAATTTCAGCTAGACAGTTCAATTTGTCTCATGCATCATTTGAAGGCATTGAAGGACTCAAGGTTATGGCTTTATGTGCAACCTATCATTTTCAAAAGGTTAGTGTATCATTGCCACAATCAACCCAGTGGTTGAGTAATCTTCGAACTCTACGTCTGGTAAGATGTAATTTGGGTGACATCTCATTTGTGGTTTCCTTAAAAAGCCTTGAGATTCTTGATTTGAAGAGGAGTGAGTTCAGGTTATTGCCAAAAGGAATAGAAGAATTGACTAAACTGAAATTGCTAGATTTGAGACATTGCTCGATAATGGAAAATTGTGATGAAGTGATTAAGAGGTGTTCACAGCTTGAAGAATTATATGTGTACGGAGATGAAGCATACTTTGGGAAAAATATTTCAGATTCTCATAATACTTGGTTTCTGGAGAAGGCCTCCTTCCTGAAATTGCAAAGGTATAGATTACAATTTGGGAAAGCTAAAATTCCTCTCAAAAGTTTGCCTCTAATTTCCCGAGCCCTACTCATCAGGGAATTAAAAATCCCCACCTTAAGTATAGTTGTCAAGGATATGATGCAAAGAGCTGATTGTCTTTTTCTGGAGGACCTTGTTGGAGGTTGCAAAAGTATCATCCCAGATTTGGTTGCAGCTGTAGGAAGCATGAAGCAAGTGATCAAATTAAGTCTCTATTCCTGTTTAGAGATAGAATTCTTCATCATCTGTTCAACTAATCCATCTCAGGCTTGTCATGACTTTCCGATGTTAATAGCAATGAAGCTGAGTGCTATGAAACATTTGAAACAAGTGTGCCTTGGGCCTCCTCCACCTAAATTCTTTCAGAATTTGAAAGAAGTATTCATGTGTGATTGTCCTCAATTGACAAGAATATTTCCTGGGGAGTGCAATCTGTGCAACCTTAAAGAGCTTGTCATCTCCAAATGTCCAATGTTGACATCACTCTTCTCAAAGCAGGTTGCGCAAACTCTATTGCAATTAGAAGTCATGAAGATAGAATATTGCAGCGAGTTAGAGTGTATAATATTCGATGAAGAGGATGACATTGGTGCAACAACAAGGGAGCAAAAGGTTCATGTTTTAGAAAATTCTCCATTGACATTCCCAAAATTAAGAATTCTGACAGTTGAAGAGTGTGACAAGTTGGGATACATATTCCCAATTTTTTTTGCTCAAGGCCTTCTGGAGCTGCAAAAAATTAAGATTACAAGTGCTCCTCAGATGAAGTATGTATTTGGAAAAGATGTCGCTGAAGATCTTTCAACCAATCAGAAGAAGATTCAAATTTTGTTTCCTCAATTAAAAGAGATACATTTATCTTTTTTACCAAGTCTGGTCAAAATTTGCCAAGAAAATTGTCATCCATGTTGGCCATCCTTGAAGGAAATAAATTGGCTCTCTTGTCCCAATTTAACAAATAAGGTACGTCCATGCTCTCTTATATTATATGGATCTTCAATTAATGGCTCCTGCATGATTATTTGTTAGTATAAATAATCTAAGTAGTTGAGTGACATTTTTGCGAATGGGAAATTATAGGAAATAAAATTCTGTTATGATTTATGAATAAATTTATTACTGAAATATTAATTGGTTTTAGTGGACTAGTGGTTACGTATCGAATTTCAGAACCTGGAAATACAGGAAGATAGACAATTGTGCATGTTGGATATTATGTTCACTATTTATATATTTTAAGAATTCTATCTAATTTTTTTCCAACCATAATGAAATATAATGACTTCAATATACTAATTTTAAGAATTCTAGCCTAGAAGCCTTCTTCTAATTTTCCTTATGAAAGATATTTTTGAACATAATATACTAATAATATTGCATGACATAGAAATACATTTTTTGCAAATTATACACATAGTATATAGGGAAGACATAGCTTTTGATCCTTATATTTTACTCGCGTTTTGCTTTTAGTTTTTGTACTTTTTTTTTGGTATTAAAGGCCCTGCACTTTTATTTTTTATTGTTTTCAGCCCTTCTATGAACAAAGTGCAGGGACCTTGGAGGGATTGAAAATAATGAAAAACAAGTGTAGAGACCTAAAACACCGAAAAGAAAAATACATGGATCAAAAGCAAAAAGTGAGCAAAATATAAGGATCAAAAGCTATGTTTTCCCTATTATATATAAAGCATCACATAAAAATACTATCAAGTAAAGAATAATTTTGATTCTCTTTTTTTTTTTTCAATTTCCATTTATATATCTTGTTTTTCATGTAGGGACCGCATGAAATTGAGACAATGGGATGTGAAGTGCTGTGCATTAGCAATTGTGGAGTGACTGACATATTCCATGTTCGAGGAGATGGACATAGAAGTAACGATCAAGAAGCAACAACCTCCAAATTGAAAGAGGTAAAGTTAGAAATTCTTCAAAAGCTGAGTATCATATGGAGAGGCCTTCACAGCTTTACACAAATTCTAAACCTCAGTTATCTTGAATCCATAACAATTGATCGATGTGGAAAGTTGAAATGTATCTTCCCTGCTTTCATCGATAGAGGCTTTCCACATTTGATTGATCTTGCCATACATAGTTGTGAGAATTTAGAGGAGATTTTTGAAGAGAATGAAGAAGAGCTTCAAAATCCATCCAGGGTTCAAGAGTGTTTTCCCAAGCTTGAGGAAATAACAGTGACTGGATGCCCTAAGCTAAAAGTTATATTTTCTATAAGAATGGTTAAAAGTTTCCCACAATTAAAGACTTTATGGATTTCTGAGTCTTTGGAACTAAAGGAGATTTTTGGAGGTCCGAATGAAGGCATTATCTCTGACAATGAAAAGGAAATTTCAGTCCCAAACTTGAGAGTGATAACACTTGAAAACCTGCCAAACCTCACTGACATTTGCCAAGGGTTTAATTTTCTCCCAAAGGAGCTTCACAAGATTCAAATATATGGTTGCACTAAATTTGCTCCTATTTTAGAAGCAACTCGGTTTTGGAGAGAAAAGGTATGGATTCTTTTTATTATTAATTATTATTTTCATTTTGGTCAAATTCTTGGCTTGGGACATTTAATGGGCCTCCCTTTAGTACTCTTTGTAGTGCCTTCCCTTTTCAACTTTGTCTTTTTTAATTCGGATTATTAACTTTTACGTAAAATAAAAAACATTTTAATATCTTAAAGTTTTAAAATAGTAAATTTTTATATTTTTATAATTTTTCAAAGAAAAATATCAAAATTACACACTTTTATCTTTGAAAAATTGTAAAAACATAAAAAACACCGTTTTGAGATTTTAAGATACCCAAATGTCTTTATTTTATATAAAAGTCAATAATTTAAAAAAAAAGACAAAATTGAAAATATAGGTCATTACAAAGAGTATTAGAGGGAGGGAAGCAGCCCAAAGCCCTGAATTTTTCACTCTCACTCTTCCTCTTCATTGGTCTCTACTAGGGCTTACGCATTTTTGTGTGCAATCGGGGAGTGATAGACATTTTCCAAATTGATGGGTCTGTAAATTTTGGTGGGACTGAGCAGTACCAATACATGGGCGGACAAGTGGTTCTGTTGGAATCCGAACATAAACTATGGAGCGGTCCTATTCCCAGAAACGTGTTGAGCTTCCAATATCTTCGTAGTTTAGTAGTGAGTCAATGCAGTACCATGAAGTGTTTGTTCCCTTTGAGTGTCATCCATGAAGGCCTGCCCGAGCTGGCTTACCTGTTAATATCTGGGTGTGATGAAATGGAGCAATTGGTTGATATTGAAGAAGACATAGGAGAACAAGAGGTTAATGCATGCATTAATAATATTCAAGTCTCAGGATGCTTTCCGAAGCTAAGAGAACTAATGGTGGATAGTTGCAACAAACTGATCAGACTTCTCCCAGCAAAAATATTAATAGCTAGAGAGCTTCCACAGCTTGAGATTATGTTGATAGTAAATGCTGCTGAGTTAAGAGAACTGTTTGGTCAAAAGGTTGCGCTTCCAAACATGAAGAAGCTAACACTAGCCAATGTGCCGCATTTGACATCCTCCTCGGTGGAAACTATTTCCCGAAAAGGTGGTGGCATGTACTCCATAGCACAAATTGGGTCTCGTTTGGTGCACTTGTTCGAATAGATCATATCAAAGAGAGAATAATGTAATTCCAAGGGAAAGGGAAAAATGATATTTCTGCATGTGAAATGCTCATTTAATCAAAGAAATAATAACATATAGGAATACGGTTATTATTGATTTACTTGTCATGCAAAAAGAATCCTTTTTGAGGTATTGAAAAGGGCACCCGTTATTTGAACCAATTAATATACTAGTTCAAGGGAATTGTGATTAGAGTAATTATAAATAAAACATTTTATTAAACTGATAGAGGCACTGATTCAACCAAGTTAACTCAATTTTTAATATTATGACTTTTTAACTTGGGGTTATTAATTTCCTCATTCTTTAATACCTGTGCTTGCAAAGGTATATACTCTCTTCATTTAAAATTATAAGGTAGTTTTAACATATTTATTCCTTTAATAAGTTTGTTAATAACATTTAAAATTATATATTTTTTTCATTTATTCTTATCTAATTAGGAATCATCTCAATTAAAAAAATTTATAAATTACAATCCTAATTAAAGACATTCTTAATTAAAAATATTAATGATTAAGTTGATGGGTTCTTCTGATCCAATTATATGAAAGTGTTTTTTTTTTTATTAATTTCATTTCTATACAATGTGTGACATTTTTCACACTTGACATCAGATATTTTTCAGTACTTCGACGCGGTCTTGGTCATAAAGAAAAGGGGATAATGACAATTAAGGACCCTAAAAAATATTAAAGATGATTGGAATTTGAAAACTTACAATTCAAATTTCAATATTTAGTTATTTATGACCCAAAAATCCTTCTTTTAAATTAATATAATTCTACATTCCTCAATTGTCATTCTCCCTAAAAAAGTATTATTTTCTCAATAATTAATAGCAGGATTTTCTTGTTTCATTCTTACCGGAAAAAAAAAAACAGGGTTTTCAACTCTCTCGTTATAAATTAAAATAAAAAATAATATATATATATATATATATATACTTATTTATAAAAATTAAAATTTTTTATTGATATATAAATTATTTTTAAACATTATTTATATTTTAAATTAGGAGTGCTATTTGTAGCTTGACATTTCCATGATCATTAAAGGCAATGTCTGTATTTAATTTGTCAACTTTTAGATGGGTTGTGTTGAGTTGGATGATCTTGCCGGCCCAAAAGATGTTAGCTTTGATGGTTTTCTACAATTTGGAGACCCAGTGATGATTTGCTTGTTTCCTGGCCCTTCTATTATGGGAGTTGGCTTCCCTCCCTCCTCTGCCCTTCTCGAGAAAGTACAAAATTTGGATCGTCTGTTTTTATTCAAAATGGATAATCCAACATTTAATATGAATGATTTATATTTACTATTAAATTTTTTATCAATTAACTTTTCAAACATATTTTAAATAGTGTAGGTTTAATACTAATTTTTGTATAATTTTTATAAATTAGATTTAAACTATTCATATTAACTTTGAACTGTTTAGATTGATAAAAATATTTATTAATTTTTTTATAACTTATATAATTTTTTATTTTAAAAAATTAAAAATTAAAAATTAAAAAAATTAAATTTAAACTGTTTAAATTTAATTTAGACAATTCAAATTTTACAGCTTAGTGGGGGTGAGAAGGGAAGCAAACTCTACTATTCTAATGCATCTGCTATTCTAATGTGTTCGAGGAGGATCTACATTTTTTGACTCATTTGAATTGAGAAAATGATTTTGGTAAAAGTAAAAATGGAAATAGAAGTTAAAGTAGAACTAAAAGTAAGGTCCAAAAGTACATTTGTTTGATGTGCAAATATAATTGAGATAAAAAATTATTTAATATTTTTTTTATATTTCGAGAAGATTACAATACCACTAGATTAAAAAAATCCAAAGCAGCAGCAAGCTACCCCTTTCATTTAACAATCACCATTGTCAAAAATTGTCCAAAAATTAAATCAATCAAAAACTCAATAACAATCAATCTTTAAAAATTGTATAACTCCAAATAAATAATTGAAGACTAGAAAGCCACAAATCAAAGGAGCGAAGCATATGAAAGAAGTGAAAGGGGAGAGAGATCGAAGAAGTATATTGAAGAAAGCTTCTGTCCAGCCACTGCTCTCCACGACGACTCCTCCTCCTCCTCACCATTTTTTGCTCTATTTTTCCAGAAATCAAATATCAAACCCAGATAAAGGAAATCAGCCACAAAGAAATCGAAGATGGAGGTGTTGAAGAGAATGGACCAACGGACTAGGAATAGGGATCGCCAAGTGGACGTTGAAGAACCCAAATCATGCACACCAAACACACAAAGTTATGGTTTCACTTTCATTTCCACTTCCCTCCCTCGAATTCTTTGCTATCAAACAGTCCATTATGGTTTACCTGCACCCAGCAATGCTATCTAGCTGCTTTTAACTTTGTTTTCTTTGCTTGACCTTTTAGTTCTCTTAATTGAACAGTAACTTTAACATTTACCGCTAGGGGAAACACTACTCAATAATGTCGTTGTAATGGGGCGCCATTGGATGGATTCAGAAAGTATAACAACAACAACAACAAGCCTTTATCCCACTAGGTGGGGTCGGCTACATGGATTGCAAGACGCCATTGTGCTCTATCATTTATTAAGCTTTTAGAAATATTATTAATTAAGAGATCACGTTCAACAACTTCCAAGAGTGTTCTCTTAGGCCTTCCTCTACCTCTCTTAATCGGACTCAAAGTTATATGTTCCACTCTTCTCACTGGTGCCTCCCTTGGTCTTCTTTGTACATGCCCAAACCATCTCAACCGATTTTCTACCATTTTTTCCTCAATAGGTGCCACCCTCACTTTTTCACGTATGTGCTCATTTCGAATTTTATCTTTACGTGTATGTCCGCACATCCATCGTAACATTCTCATCTCTGCTACTCCAACTTTATGTTCTTGCTGTCCCATTAGAGCCCAGCATTCACTACTATATAACATTGCCGGTCTGATAGCAGTACGATAAAACTTTCCTTTAAGTTTATTAGGCACCTTACGGTCACAAATAACTCCTTTAGCTTTTCTCCAATTAAACCACCCAGCTTGAATTCTATGTGAAATATCTCCACTGATTTCGCCATCATTTTGGATAATGGCTCCCAAATATCTAAACTTTTCCACTTGAGGTATAATTTGATCTCCCAATTTCACTTCCAAATTATTTTCGAATAGTCCTTTATCAAATTTACAATATAAATATTCCGTCTTACTTCTACTCAGACGAAAACCTTTCGACTCCAATGTCCTCCTCCATAACTCAAGTTTGCAATTAACCTCTTCTCTTGTCTCTGCTATAAGAACTATATCATCCGCGAAGAGCATACATTTCGGGATTTCCTCTTGAATATGTTCCGTCAAAACATTTAAAATCAAGTTGAACAAATAAGGACTCAGAGATGATCCCTGATGTAGCCCAATCTTTATAGGAAAATCCTTTGTTTGACCACTAGGCGTTCTTATACTAGTTTTTACCCCCTCATACATATCTTGTATGGCTTTAATATAAGCAATCCGTACTCCCTTTTTTTCCAACGCTTTCCAAAGCACTTCTCTTGGTATACGGTCATATGCTTTTTCCAAATCAATAAAAACCATGTGTAGATCTTTATCTTTACAACGATACTTTTCCATTAATCCCCTTAGTAGATAAATCGCTTCTGTAGTTGATCTACCTGGCATAAAACCAAATTGATTCTCAGAAATACTTGTCTCCAATCTCAACCTGTGCTCAATTACTTTCTCCCAAAATTTCATTGTGTGGCTCATGAGTTTAATCCCTCTATAGTTAGTACAATTCTGAATATCTCCTTTATTTTTATAAATAGGAATTAATGTACTTCTCCTCCACTCATCAGGCATTTTCTTGGACCGTAAAATCACATTAAATAACTTAGTTAACCATCTCACCCCTTCTTCACCTAAACATTTCCACGCTTCGATAGATATACAATCAGGTCCGTTAGCTCTACCATTTGCCATTTTCTTAAGAGCTTCCTTTACCTCCTTATCACGTATTTTTCGATAGAATGACAAATTTTGTTCTCCTTCACCAGTTACTAAATCCTCCAAGTTACTAGATGAATCCTCTCCATCATTGAAAAGTTTAGAAAAATAAGTCTCCCATCTATTTTTAATTTCATCATCTGTAACTAAAATTCTTCCCTCTTCATCCTTAATACACCTTACCTGTTCTAGATCTCTTGATTTTCTTTCCCTACTCTTGGCAATCTTATAAATATTTTGCTCTCCTTCCTTCGTCTCAAGGTTCTTATAAAATTCTTCAAAAGCTTTAGAATGAGCTTCACCCACAGCTCTCTTAGTTTCCTTCTTAGCCATACGGTACCTCTCCCAATTTTCCTCATTGTTACACAAATGTATGGCTTTAAAACAGTTCTTCTTATACTTGATTTTGTCCTGTACACTATTATTCCACCACCAAGACTCCTTATCTCTCGGACCAGAACCTTTCGATTCTCCCAAAACTACTTTTGCAACCTCCCGTATCTTTTTAGCCATATCCTCCCATATGATGTTAGCACTTCCCTGAGAATCCCAAATTCCTTTATCCAAAAGATTTCGCTTGAAAATATCTTGCTTCTCACCTTTTAATTGCCACCACCTAATCTTTGGTGTTACAAAATGAGATAATAAAGTTCTTAATATATGACATATAATTGTTATTGCATTCACCAAATTGAAATTATAATCAACTATGTTATTAATGTCTAAACTAAAGTTGTTAATCACTTAGTTAAAATTATTAACATAAGAAGCGTACTTATTTCATGGCTAAACTAACAATTACGTTCTTATATTAATAACTTTACTTTCATTGTTAAATATTAACAATTTTAGTGTAGGTTTTAATATTAACAGTTTTTTTTTTATTTTCCTAGGGGTCGAAGAAGTAATTTTGCAAAAATTATGTCAAATCAGTCTCTAAAAAAATAACTATTTTATTTTATGATACTTATTTATCATTTGCTATTTCTAATGAGATTTATTTAACATTTTTTCAGAAAAATAATGAAATGATGTGGCACTGTATTTAAGGCGTGGGATCCAGCTGTAACTTCATCTTTCTTTCATCTGCTCTACGGACAACACTCCACTCTTCATCATTATTTTCGACTTCCCAGTTCACCATCTTTGTGTTTGGTTCTGTTTTTGGATCAGCGACTTCAGCAGAGAGACACAGTGAGGTATGAAGCTTTTAGTTTCCCTCCATCAACACCAAACTCTTTGTTTTTCTCAATCATTCACCATTGTTTTTTTTCCCCTATCTCTGAGAAAGTCTCTCATCTTTTTTCTGCTTATTATTACTCTCTGCTTACCATTTACTTCTGCTTCGACATAGTTTTACGAAAATGACTTTGCAATTTGCATGCATCTAAATTATTCGTCATAAAGAACAACAAACAGGTCTCGACAACTTCAAATTCCTGTGGTCAAAACAGCCACCATGAAATATTGTGTTTCTGATAACGTCTTTGTCTGTCATTTTTTTTTGAATAATATTTTGGAAATGTTATCCGTTCCTACATTCTCTTACTAAGGAGGGTATTGCGTCCATTTTCTTGAATCGTTTTTGAGAATAATTTTTGGATCTTTCTTTATGATTCTTGAAGTGATCAGAGGGTTTATCTGGTCACTTTAACTATTGTTCAATTAGCATGCTGAAATATTAATTAAAAACAGCAGTGTATATATTATTAAATGAGTAAAATTATTGGATATTTTGATAAATACATGCCAAATCAAGAAAAAATAAGAAGAAAATTGGGAGGAGACCGACAGCAAAACTACTAAACTATATAATTTGTTATGTTGTTAATTTTCAAATCTCTTAATTTATATAATTTTTTCACTTTCATTTATTTGTAGAGATCATCAGATCTGTAATTCCAGTATTTCCTTCCTTACTCTATCTCTGTCTCCAGCTTCAAGAAGAGAGATCGCAAGGTATGATTTCTTTCAATCCCTCAAGATTACCATACAATTAATAAGCAGAGGCAATGCAGTAACTTCTTTTCCCCCCTAAAAAGTGATTTTTTTTCTTGCGTAAAAATTTGTATTAGTTCATTTATTATCATTTTTCAAAGAATTTTGTTGTCTAGTTTTTGTAGAAGGATTAATGATTATTGTCTAGTGTTTGTTTCTCTGCCGGAAATCTGGTATGTTAAAAGAATATTTCGTCTGTTGAAGAGATGAGTTATATATATATATATATATATTTTTCCATTTGGTCCTTAGTCAAAACTTATTTTTTGATGATGAAATGAAAACTTTTTGGTGAGTGATACAATTTAGAAGTTCTAAATATTATTAATTGATAAATTATTAACTGAAAATATCACGAGTTATAATTATATTTTTTTTTAAGAAAATCTGTGTATTTAATTATGTCCACGCATGTTGTACGAACCACTGAGAATGGTAGTTGGATAAAGAAAGGTAGTTTTTACTTTCCATCGCATCCCAAAAAAAAGAAAGGTAGTTTTTGGCATTTTTTGTCAAAAAAAAATAATACTCTCTCTGTCTCAAATCATAAGATATTTTTGGAGGAGTTTTTTTATAAATAGATTTAGATTTTATTAAATATATCAATTTTAATATTATTCTCTTTTTTATAATTAATTTTCATCCTTTCTCTTTTCAATATATTAAATAATAAATATTTTTAAAAGTTTACGTAAGATTTTCTCCAAAAATATTTTATAATTTAGGATGGAAGAAGGAATAAAGTAGACACTGAAAATTAGAGTCCTGTAAAAAGGAACAAACCAAACTCTCAAAAAGGACTCTATGATTAGAAGCGAAGATATAAATACTTTTGACATATGTAATCAGTCATAAATATGATTAGTTGATAAACAATTAATCGAAAATTTTAAGAATTTAGAAGACAAAAAATTGTGCATTTTACAATGTCCAGCTGTCCTTTTATTCTCCAGACACTACTCCATAATTAGGAGCGAATCTTGCCACTATTCTTCATTACATATATATATATATATATATATATAGACACACATACAAAAATTATATATATTTCTTCAAATCTCTTTATTTATATATATATATATATATTTTTTTTTTGGTATAGACGATCATCTGATATGTAACATAATTCGAGTGTTTCCCTTACTTTATCTCCCAGCTTCAATCAGAGAGACCGCAATGTAAATATGCTTGCTTTAAATCCCTCCATATTAATTGGGCACTAATAAGCAAAGGCAATGCAATAACATGTCTTTTAATTAAAAAACAATTTCTTTTAATGTATCAGTGGTATTTATTGCAATCATTTGGGATCAACTGTTTAGCATTTACAGTTTACACTATTATCTGTCAATGAATGTTCAGAACCATTAGATGTTTTGTTGAAACGCGTACATCAACACTATAATTACCTTAAAATTAGGAATAGCCTACATTTATTCTTCTTTTTGATTTTTGATTAAAGAAAGTTAATAATAATTTTTTATCTTATGTTTGACCTGACTAAACACGTATATAACATTCGTTACTGTCATAAGCTCATTTATTTCCCTTTTGTAATGTATCAGGAAATATCATTTGTTATTTCCCTTTTGTAATGTATCAGGAAATATCATTTGTTGAAATGACAGAGGTAGTTATCGCAGTTGCTGCCAAAGTCTCAGAATATTTGGTGGGTCCTGCTATTCATCTTGGATATTACTTGTTTTGTGTTGGCAAACTCACCAGAAAGCTTAAGAAAGAGAAGGAGAAGCTGATATCAAGAAAAGATGATGTGACTCGGCGTGCAGAGGAAGCAGAGAAGAGAACTGAGAAGATTGAACCTGCAGTGGAGAAGTGGTTGCAAGAAGTACAAAGTTTGCTACAAGATGTGGAGAATGATCTGAAGAAATTAAAGAGAGCCAATGGTCACTTCTGTGAATTTTGTCCAAGTTGGAGAAGATATAGATTGAGCAAGCAATTAGAGAAGAAGATACAAAGAATGATTGAGCTCAACAACAACAGCACATTTGAGAAATTTTCTCGTCTTGCTTCCCTTCCAACAAATATTACCTCCACAACAGATATTATGTTCTTTGAATCCAATCAATGGGCTTTTGATAAACTTTTGGAGGCATTGAAGGACGACAACTGTCACATAATATGCTTAGATGGGATGGGGGGATGTGGCAAAACAACCCTTGCAAAAGAAGTCGGCAAAAGAGCTCTAGAATTTAAACTCTTTGATAAAGTTGTTTTCACTGTTGTGTCCCAAACCATTACTGTTGGCAAGGTGCAAGATGACATTGCTGATGTATTGGGTTTGAGTCCTTGGCAAGAAGCAAGTAAGGATGGGAGGGCAAAACGATTATCATTGGGATTCCAAAATGGGGGCAGAATTCTTGTTATATTGGATGATGTTTGGAGAGAGTTGAATCTTGAAGACTTTGGTATCCCTTCAGATGGCAACCTTAAAGGTTGCAAAATCCTTTTAACTACACGTGTCCGTGATCTTTGTTCTTTGATGAATGGTCAAAAGAATGTTTCACTGGATCTCTTATCACCACAAGAAGCATGGGTTTTCCTTCAAAAGAAAGCAGGTATAGCTGAGGACTCTTCATTAAATAGTGTGGCGCAAGAGGTTGCTGCTGAATGCGGAGGACTGCCCATAGCAATTCAAGCTATCGCAACAACTTTGAAAGCAAAGCCTCTTGATAGTTGGAAAGATGCTTTATATAAACTAAAGCACTCCGAACCTATTGAAGTTCATTTGGATGACAAAGATGCTTTTAAATGCATTCAATATAGTTATGATGTTTTGAGGAGTGAAAAAGCACGTCGTCTTTTCTTGATGTGTTGTATTTTTCCAGAAGATCATGAGATCAAAAGAGAAGACCTTTTCTTATATGGAGTGGGGTTGGGCTTGTTCGGGGAAAATGGTTCATTTGATGATTTAAGGAGCAGAGTGAATGCAACTTTAGATCATCTCCTTGATTATTCTTTGTTGATGAATTCTGATATAGGAGATGGTTGCTTCAAAATCCATGATGTTGTACTTGATTTTGCTAAATGGAAGGCATCCCAAGAGGATTGGTTTGTCATTGTTGATCATGAGAAGGGGATAAATTCCTTGGCATTGGATGGGACTGCAAAAACCTGTTCTGCAATATCTACATGGGACATTGAAGAGGATCAATTTCCTCAACAATTTGACTACCCAAAGCTTGAGATTCTATTGCTCAATTCAACTAATTCCTTGGATTTGTCTCAAGCATCATTTGAAGGCATCAAAGGAGTCAAAGTTATGGCCTTGATTAAACAATTTTATCATGTGACGCCTTTGTCATTGCCACAATCAACCAACTGGTTGACTAATCTTCAAACCTTACGTTTGGTGGGATATGATTTAGGTGACATCTCATTTGTGATTCATTTAAAAAGACTTGTGATTCTTGATTTGCATTGGAGTACTTTCAAGTCATTGCCAGAAGGAATAGAAGAATTGAAAAAATTGAAGATGCTAGATCTAAGGGAGTGCTCCATTATTGAAAATTTTGATGAAGTGATTGGAAGGTGCTCGCAACTTGAAGAATTATATGTGTGTGGAGATAGAGCATTTGTTGGAAAAAATGTTGATTCTCAAGCATCCCTTTTGGAGGGCGCTTCTTTTCAAAAATTGTGTAGGTATGAATTACAAATGGGGAATATAGAAGATGATTCCAATTTCCGAGTAGAAAGATATCGATCATGTCTATACTTTGGAGAGTTATATACATCCAACATAAGTACAAGTGTCAAGAATTTGATAGCGAAAGCCGAAGGCATTCATTTGCAAAACCTTCATGGAGGCTGCAAAAGTATCTTCCCAGAATTTGTTGAAGTTGTGGGAATCATGACTAGTCTGATTGAATTGGTTCTTTTTGATTGTCACGAGATCGAGTTCTTCATTTGTTTAACTCCAACCCAAGTTTCTCGTTTCCATTTTGATAGGGTGTTCTCGATGTTGGTCAAGTTGAGACTATACAATATGAACAATCTCAAACATGTGTGTTGTGGTTCTCTTCCGCCGAACATTTTTCAAAAATTGGAACAAGTGGATATATGGGAATGCCTTCATTTGATCAGTATATTTCCTGAGGAGTGCAATCTTCAGAACTTGCGGGAACTTGACATCCAGGGATGTCCAATGTTGACATCACTCTTTTCAATGTCAGTTGCTCAATCTCTATCCCAATTAGAAGAAATAACAATAAAAAGATGTTCAAACTTGAGGCATATAATAATGAATGATGAACATAATGCCACGGATGGAAGGCAAGAAATATTTCAAGCATCAGAATGTTTGAATTCCATGTTCCCCAAATTGATGAGCTTGACTGTAGAAGGTTGTGACAATCTGGAATATGTGCTTCCAATTTATTGTGCTCAAGGCCTCTCGCAACTGCAAAGGATAAACATTGCAAATGCTTCTCTGATGAAGTATGTATTTGGCAGGCATGTTACTGGGGGTCTTTCAACCAATCAGAATGAGATACAAATTGTGCTTCCACAACTACAAAAGATGGTTCTTGAGCACCTCATGAGTCTCGTCAGCATCTGTCCAGAAAATTATTTTCCAAATTTGTCATCCTTAAAGGAAATTACATGGACGAATTGTCCCAAGTTGGCAAATATGGTATGGATCTTCACTCTTCTCATTTGATTTGATTTTTTTATCTTTTAGTAATAGTTTGCACATAATTATTTCCTAGTTTGAATCGTAGTTGCATGACATTAACGAAATCAAAACTTATAAGATAAAATATGAAGTTTGATTTTGACAATTATACGTGTTAAACATTCTTATGACTATTTTTCATATCCAAAATTTTTAAATACATATAATAAAAATTTGATTCACTTGAAGCCCAAAAGTCTTCTAGAAATATTGTAGATGAAATATATTTTTTGTTTATTACCATAATTTTATAGGTAATAGAAATGACAGTTTAGAAAATTAAAATTAAAATTAACCCCCTAACCTTTCATTTTGTGTTTCAAAACCCCTGACTATTAATTAACTATTATTTTACTAATATGGTTATTATCATATCATATTGATGCAATATACATGACACAAAAAAATATTTTTATTTTTTTAGCACAATTTAAGGAAGGATAAAATTGTAATTTTTATTTTCAACACACATAATGATTCTTTCATTTTTTTAGTTCAACAATATTGTTCTCATTGTTCACAATCACAAGTAATACAATTTAAAAGAAAAATTATAATTTTATTATTTTGTATCAATTGAAATGATATTTTATATTAAACAAGTGAAACAAAATATGTAAAATCTTTCATTGATAAAAGTAATATAAAGTTTGTTACTCGCTTTGTTTTTTTCTCTTCAAACTCTTATTTGTTTGTAGCTGTTATTTTTTTATTGAGACAAAAAGTGTATTCTGCTTTAGAATAATATTTTTTTTTTGCTATTAGTGATTTGTATCAATTTAAAAAAAATTGCAAAATATCACAATTTTTTTATATTAAAAGATAAATTTTTATTTTTATGATTCTTATCAATGACAGTTTTAGATTTTTTTTCATATAAAAGGCTATTTTAATTGATAAAGAATAATGAAATTGTAATTTTTCTTTTAAATTGTATTGCCCGTGAATAATGAGAATAATATCACTCAACCAAAAAAATGAGAGTATCATTATGTGTGTTAAAAATGAAAATTACAATTTTAACCCTTCTTGAATTATGCATGTGTATTGCATTAATATGACATGACAATAAATATATTAATAAAATAATAATTAATTAATGATAGAGATTTTGAAAAACGAAATGAAAGGTTAAGGGGGTTAATTTTAAGCATTGAATGATGAGAGAAGTCATATGTATTATCTCAAAGTTCAATAGAGTTTTATGCATTTTAGTCAAAGTATTGTTGAGCAATGATAATAAAACTCATTATTTGTATAAAAGTGAAGTTAATTCAACCTTTTTAGGTGATATATTTAATTCTTTTTTTTCTATGAGATCTATAAATTGTTTTAAGTGTTTTTCATGTTCTTCTTTATTTTTTGAAAATATTCTGGATTCTTTTGCAAGCTTTCTAGTTAAAAATATTTTTTTAAATAATATGGTATCATTACAACAATTGAGCAAATTATACGTTAAGTATTAAAAGCAAACAGGTGTGTCACATGAAAATATTATTGAACAAAAATAATAAACATCATTTTTTATGTTTGAAAAAGATTATTAATATAATCATGATTCCCTCTTTCTTTTCTCTTGGTATGTCTTTTATATAGGGATTACTTGGAGTTAGAGATGAATGTGAAATGAGTAATGAAGTGCTTCAAAAACCACAGGGTTCAAGAGTGTTTTCCAAAGCTTCAAATCATAACACTGCGTGGATGTGGAAAGTTGAACTGTGTCTTTCCCACAATCGTCGGCAGCAACTTGCCAAATCTGATACGTCTTCGCATAGAAAACTGTGACAATTTGGAGGAGATCTTTGCAGAGAATGGAGAGCTTCAAAAACCACACAGGGTTCAAGAGTGTTTTCCAAAGCTTCAAGACATAACACTGCGTGGATGTGGAAAGTTGAACTGTGTCTTTCCCACAATCGTCGGCAGCAACTTGCCAAATTTGATAGCTCTTCGCATAGGAAATTGTGAGAATTTGGAGGAGATCTTTGTAGAGAATGGAGAGCTTCAAAAACCACACAGGGTTCAAGAGTGTTTTTCAAATCTTCAAGCCATAACACTGCGTGGATGTGGAAAGTTGAACTGTGTCTTTCCCACAATCGTCGGCAGCAACTTGCCAAATCTGACACGTCTTCGCATAGAAAACTGTGACAATTTGGAGGAGATTGTTGCAGAGAATGGAGAGCTTCAAAAACCACACAGGGTTCAAGAGTGTTTTCCAAAGCTTCAAGACATAACACTGCGTGGATGTGGAAAGTTAAACTGTGTCTTTCCCACAATCGTCGACAGCAACTTGCCAAATTTGAAATATCTTTGCATAGAAAATTGTGAGAATTTAGAGGAGATCTTTGCAAAGAATGGAGAGCTTCAAAAACCACATAGGGTTCAAGAGTGTTTTCCAAAGCTTCAAGATATATCACTGCGTGGATGTGGAAAGTTGAACCGTGTCTTTCCCACAATTGTCGGCAGGAACTTGCCAAATCTGACACGTCTTCGCATAGAAAACTGTGACAATTTGGAGGAGATCTTTGCAGAGAATGGAGAGCTTCAAAAACCACACAGGGTTCAAGAGTGTTTTCCAAAGCTTCAAGACATAACACTGCGTGGATGTGGAAAGTTGAACTGTGTCTTTCCCACAATCGTCGGCAGCAACTTGCCAAATCTGATAGGTCTTCGCATAGAAAATTGTGACAATTTGGAGGAGATCTTTGCAGAGAATGGAGAGCTTCAAAAACCACACAGGGTTCAAGAGTGTTTTTCAAATCTTCAAGCCATAACACTGCGTGGATGTGGAAAGTTGAACTGTGTCTTTCCCACAATCGTCGGCAGCAACTTGCCAAATCTGACACGTCTTCGCATAGAAAATTGTGAGAATTTAGAGGAGATCTTTGCAGAGAATGGAGAGCTTCAAAAACCACACAGGGTTCAAGAGTGTTTTCCAAAGCTTCAAGACATAACACTGCGTGGATGTGGAAAGTTAAACTGGGTCTTTCCCACAATCGTCGACAGTAACTTGCCAAATTTGAAATATCTTTGCATAGAAAATTGTGAGAATTTAGAGGAGATCTTTGCAGAGAATGGAGAGCTTCAAAAACCACACGGGGTTCAAGAGTGTTTTCAAAAGCTTGAAGACATAACACTGTGTGGATGTGGAAAGTTGAACTGTGTCTTTCCCACAATCATCGACAGCAACTTGCCAAATTTGACATATCTTTGCATAGAAAATTGTGAGAATTTGGAGGAGATCTTTGCAGAGAATGGAGAGCTTCAAAAACCACACAGGGTTCAAGAGTGTTTTCCAAAGCTTCAAGACATAACACTGCGTGGATGTGGAAAGTTGAACTGTGTCTTTCCCACAATCGTCGGCAGCAACTTGCCAAATTTGATAGCTCTTCGCATAGGAAATTGTGAGAATTTGGAGGAGATCTTTGCAGAGAATGGAGAGCTTCAAAAACCACACAGGGTTCAAGAGTGTTTTCCAAAGCTTCAAGCCATAACACTGCGTGGATGTGGAAAGTTGAACTGTGTCTTTCCCACAATCGTCGGCAGCAACTTGCCAAATCTGACACGTCTTCGCATAGAAAACTGTGACAATTTGGAGGAGATCTTTGCAGAGAATGGAGAGCTTCAAAAACCACACAGGGTTCAAGAGTGTTTTCAAAAGCTTGAAGACATAACACTGTGTGGATGTGGAAAGTTGAACTGTGTCTTTCCCACAATCATCGACAGCAACTTGCCAAATTTGACATATCTTTGCATAGAAGATTGTGAGAATTTGGAGGAGATTTTTGCGGAGAATGGAGAGCTTCAAAAACCACATAGGGTTCAAGAGTGTTTTCCAAATCTTTTTTCCATAACACTGCGTGGATGTGGAAAGTTGAAGCGTGCCTTTCCCACAATCATTGACAGCAACTTTCCACATTTGCATTGTCTTACCATAGGAAATTGTGAGAATTTGGAGGAGATTTTTGCAGAGAATGGAGAGCTTCAAAATCCATGGTTTCAAGAATGTTTTCAAGTGCTTGAGCAGTTATATGTCCATGAATGCCCAAAGCTAAAATTTATATTTCCTGTAAGAATGGCCAGATACTTCCCACAATTAAATTCCCTATACATATCTGGCGATTCAGAATTAAAGGAGATCTTTAGGAGCACAAATGAAAACATCTCTAACAATGAAAAGAAAATTTCAGCCCCAAACTTGACAGACATAACATTTGAAAAATTGCCTAGCCTGGTTGACATCTGCCAAGGGTTTGATTTTCTACCAAATGAACTTGTCAGGGTTCAAATACAAGATTGCCCTAAATTTTCTGTCATTTCAAAAGCAGTTCGAGGCTGGAGAACAAAGGTGATGATACCTACTGTGATCTTTGTATTTCAATTAATAATTACTATATTAACTTCTCTCACCACTATTTGTCTACATAAATCTCATTGGATTCATCAGGGAGCACGAGTTTTTTTGGTCATGGATGGAAACCCATTGAGAAGCAATGAAGATCCAACCTTACCATTGACATATGTTTTGTCAGAGGAGTTTGGAAGCTGTGGAGTGATAGACATTTTCCAAATTAAGGGATCAGTAAATGTCGGCGAGGATGACCAACACCAACTTACAGGCTCAAAAGCAATGAGGTTAGGACCTGAACATGAGCTATGGAGGGGTCCTATTCCTAAAACAATGGTGAGCTTCCAATATCTTCAACATTTAACAGTGAGACGATGTGGGAAGTTGAAGTACTTGTTGCCTGTGGATGCCATCCATGATAGCCTACCAGAGCTGTTTTCCTTGAAAATAGGTGACTGTAATGAACTTGAACAAGTTATTGCAGAAGAGAATGCAGATCTACAACGGAATGGGTCTACTACCAAAGTAGCAACAGAATGCTTCCCAAAGCTACAAGCAATAGAGGTGGAGAGGTGCGAGGAGCTGATGAGATTCTTCCCAACAACAATAAATA